TGAGGAAGAGAAACGATTCACAGTTCATTAGTGTGGCTGCCAGGATGTAGGGATCCGTGCACAGCACTCGGGAAACGACATCTTACACCTACCGGAAGCTTCAAAGCCAGTGAGCAAGTCTGAACGCTCTGGCATCCCCAGGTGCTAGGAGGAAAAGACAACTGGCTGCTTCCAAATGACGAGGGCTTTTCTCGTTCTTTTGGACAAGGGAGAGAAGAGTGAGGACATAAGGGAGAGGCAAGGAAGGAATACACCCAAGGAGACAGCAGCAGAGTTTCCAGCAGAACCTCCGTGTCCAGCAGCAGAGGGGCAGATCCAAATTGGGCTATACTAGATCCTAGGTCTTAACCTTCAGCAATCAGCTTGCCAAAAAAAAAAAAAAAGATTTGAGCTCAAATGATCGGGGACTTGGGGTATTTTCTTCACTGAAGCGAGTCCCTCAAAATCAGCTCTAACTCAAAATGTTCACGCCACACGTTAGCTCTGCCCACATTATTTAGCTGTAAGGAGTTTTATTTTTTTCCTATATAGCTCCCAATAGCCCCTCTATCTGTATAGACAAGAGGATTTGAGCTCTTGGATCCTTCCCTGTAGAGACATTTGTGTGCCTGTGTGGAGTATATGCAGAGGGAGAGACAGAGAGACAAAGAGAGGAGAGTGTGTCACACACATCCACACGCATGTCCAGCTCCCTCTTCTCCAAACCTCATTAGCAAGTGAGCTCTGAGAACGGCAACATTAGCTTGGGGAGACTAAACACACCTAACAGGAGTCTATATAAACATAGACAATCACAACTACATTCTGTAAATACAGATTTCATCTTGTTTGAGAAGTCTCATCCCCTTCCTTGCGGCGGCATTCATGAGTTACTGGATCCAAACATTCAACTTGTCTTTGCTGAATATTTCTCTTGCCTGGTGACAATCGTGGTCTGTCTCTTGTCCATCTTCTGAATTCTGAGGCATGGGGAGCGAGGTCAGGTTCAAAGCGGGCTGGGAAACAGGAACTCCGATTGGGCTGACGCCATCAGGATCTGTCTTTGTGGTCCTGAGCTGGGCTGTCTCTGTCTCATCCTTGTCACCACCACCCTTCTCACCTACAGTTTCTTTCCCTAGGATCCCAACTAAACTTCATTCAAATTCCATCTCTCCAGTGACTCGGGCTGTCAAAATCACTCTGTCCGGACGGACGGCCATGATTCCCCCACAGCCTAACATCTAGCTCAGCGGTGAATTCTGAAGGCTCTAGTATCCAACCATTTCTCCTAACTTCCGCCACTACGACATTGGTCCACACCACTCTCCTGGCCTGGATTCTTCCCATAGTCGCTGCCTGTGCACTTTCCCTGCTTCTGTTTTGGATTTCTTACAGTTGACTTTCGGTAGACCGTGCCATGTGTCCTTTGTAAACGCTATGAAAGATGATGTAATTCCCTTCACAGGGCTTCCCACAGGTTGTCACCTCCTGAAAGAAGCTAAGACTTCACAATGGCCTCCTTACCCTACAGGACCCATTGTCCTTTTTGTCACTTCCGCTGACACCATTCCTCTGCCTTTATTTTTTCTGCGTCTTAATTAACCAGAGCACAGTGGTTGGAGTTTCTCCAGGGAGCTTCAACCACCACCAGACAGATTTGCACCTTCTTGTCTACAACACACTTGCTATTATCTGTCTCTGGAACATCCCTGCTACATGGCTCTACCATGCTTCTTCTTTTGCTTCCTCCCCATTTGGACTCAACCTACCTTGTCTATGAACTTTTCCATCAAAACTTTTATTATGAAATGATAAACTCCTCTACCCGACCTGTGTCTCTTCTTCCTGTCTGCTTTACTCTGCTTTGCAGGGCTTTTGCCTACAATGAACTCTACTGTTCTCCTCTCTCTCTCTCTCTCTCTCATGCATGTGTGTGCATGTAGAGGCCACAAGAGATGCCTTCCACTCTCCCTCTTTCCCTCTTGAGACAGTGTCTCTCACTGAATCCAAATACCACTGATTGGCTGGCGAACAAGTTTGGGCAGTCTGTCTATCCACCTGTCTCTACACATAACCCACATAACCCGCGCTATCGCTACAGCCTCCAAAGGCAATGCTTGGCTTTTACGTGGCTTCTGGGGATTTGACATCCAGCCTTGATATTTGTACAGCAGGCACTTTGCTAAGGGAGCTGTGTCCACAGCCCGCTCTCATAATTCTAGAAATAGAGTGCAATTATTAAAGTGCATACTTATCAATGGCAGGATTTTTATCACTTATAAATTATTAAACTTTGGGAGCTGGAGAGATGGTTCAGGGGTTAAGAGCACTGACTGCTCTTCCAGAGGTCCTGAGTTCAATTCCCAGCACCACATGGTGACTCATAGCCATTTGTAATAAGATCCGGTGCCATCTTCCGGCCTGCAGGGGCACATGCAGGCAGAACACTATATACATAATAAATATAAATCTTTAAAATAAATAAATAAACTTCAATAAAACTATAGAAACATTATTTGTAATGCCTTGAGTCCCAGAGACTAAAAAACAATATAGCCATCGTTGTGGCTCTTATTAGTCTCCCAGAACCTGAAGGTGAAACTCGATTGCTGAGCACACCACAGTGGTGATGGATAGGTGACAGTTAGTGAGGGTTGTCACCTCTTCTCCCTCCTCTGAGTCAGTCTTCCTCCCTACAAAGTCCCAGACCGATCTGAAATCATGATGGAGACCAGGCCAGGCTAGAATGACACCGAAGAAACGCAGCCCATTGCCTGTGACTCTAGACTTGGACCAGGACTGAATTGTCAACCGAGGCTGCCCAATCTGTACGGCAGAAGGGTGAATGGAAACTCGTGCACAGTGGCTCATGTTAAGGTCCCAAATACCAACCACAACTGGCCTGACTGCCCCTCTTCACATGGCAGAGAAATTCACACGGCACAAGCTACACAGAAAGAACCGTCCTGAGCCTAAGAAGACAGCACACCGTTGCTCTAGGCTAGCCCACAGGTAATACTCTACTTCCTCCCCTGCCCATCAGTCCTCACCCAGTGCCCTCAATAAGCAAAGACATCTTTAAGACCCTAGTGCATAGCACAGCACACACTTTGAACACGGGACTTGGAGGGACAGACCTGGAACTAACCCGCAAGCCTTCTGCAGGCTGACTGGCACAGTGTTGGAAGGTGCTGCCAGGGGAAGAAGCAATCCGTGGTCCTACAAAGCTGGAAACCCAACAAACTACAGTAATCTCCAGCCCAGTGAGATACCTTCAGCAGAGCAAGAGTGCCAGTTCCGTCTTGTGGGTCACCAACAGCTGGCTATTGGAACTGAAGGCTCACTCGACAGGAGGGAATTTCATGTCTCCTACTACAAACTTAACCAGCTACCTGGTACTAGATGTCACAGACCCTAGAGGAAAACCTACTGCCATTTTCTTAAGCCAATGTAATTTCTAACTGTATCCTAAAGTGTAGCTCTCACCCCGCATCAGAGAAACTCCTTCCACGGCAGACAGTAACAATTACAGAGATCCACATCTCGGCAAAATGTGGAGAACAGGCAACCCTAGTCTTGGACCAGGACTGAATTTGAATCAAGGAGGACTGCCCTAATTTGCATGACAGTGTAGTAAGGAGCTGCGGGCAGGCCTGCTTTTCATCCCGCCCGGCTC